CCACACTTGGAATACTGTGTACAGTTTTGGTTGCCTCACCTCAAAAAGGATATTGTAGAGCTAGAAAGGTTTAGAAAAGGGCATCCAAAATGATCAAGGGGATGAAGCAACTCCCCTGTGAGGAAAGGCTACATGTTTGGGGCTTTTGAATTTAGAGAAAAGGGTTAAATGGAGACATGATAGAGATGTATAAAATTACATGTGGCGTGAAGAAAATGGATCTATTCTTCTCCTTCTCCTTCTTCCACCAGAACTTGTGGACATCTAGTGAACTTGAATGTTTCAGGACAGACAAAAAGCAAGTACTTCGTCAGACAGCCCATAGTTAAACTGGAATTCATTCCCGTAAGAACTTAGGTGGCTTTAGGAGAGGATCCTGGTTTGCCAGGATGCTGGACTAAATGGCACTTAGTCTGATCCAGCAGGCTCTTTTGTACTTATGCAATAAACGAAAGAGGGTATGGAGGAAAGAGTCCCCTTAAGAAGACATATTGAGCCCAAATACTTTTAAGAGCACCCCACGGATCTTTTTGCTAAGAAAACAAGTTTAAGGAATTATGAGTAAGAAAGATTCAAGCATCACCCCCGATCAAAATTACTTCTCCATTCAAAATTGCAGCCTCGATTCTGCTTTCATAGCCTCGCGTTAGCTTGAATACTATTGTCATTCATTCAAACACTATTAACAATGGGCTATATTCTTATTTTCTGGTTCTCTGGCATTTGGCGCTTTTCTCCTAGAAGGGAAATAACTTGTTTTCCTCCCTCCTTGTAAATGTTTGTGAGTAATATTAGAGTGTCTACAAGATCTAGGGGATTTTTTTTCAAACAAAGGAAAGTACCGTGGAGTCCAAACAATCATATCATACCTAGGATGATTATTCTCATTTAAAATGAAAGATAAAAATGGAAACTGAAATCCAAAGATTTTTCTAAAGCGTGAGAAACCAAAGTGACATAAGTCAGTTGATTTCTATATTCTAATATTATTGATGGATGAAGTGTTAGGTCTTCCTTCAATTCACTGGCAGCACTGTTTATTATTATCATTTATTAAGGATGTTTATATTCCACCTTTCCGATGGAATATCACTCAAGGTGACTAACAGTAAAAGGAAAATGCATCAAACTACAAGTCTCATGCTCAAACATGCATTCCCCATTCATCACAATGGATGATACTTTGTCCAGTTGAAAGCCTTCAGACAATATCTGCCTGCTATTTTCCTACACATGTGTTCAAAGAAATCTATGAAATGAGGTTCACAAGGACACATAGATGTAACTACCCAGTTGAAATATTATAGAGGCTGCAGCCACCTTTTTGTTGATTCAGCTGTGATGATAAAGTTGGCTGTAAGTCCCCCAACATTGCAATTCTATGCATGTCCATTTGGGAATTAAGCTCCATTTAACATAGTGGCACTTACTTCCAAGTAAACATGCATAGTTTTGCATTGTAAATGCACATTCAGACTTCTGGTATACCAAATAGGTATTGATGTGGTTTTGCATATGACGGCTGGGAGTGAACTCTCTGTACAATTTGCCCATGTCACATTGGTTCTTAGACACAAAAGGTCTCAAGGTCTTCTATTTCACTTTTCCCTTCCTAAAATAGTATTATATCTACAAATCCAACCATAACTAGAAGTTTTCTCATTTGTATATTCTGTACTTTTCACTATATGAAAAGTAAGGGTAAGGTGTCATACAGTGTGCTTATATTGAAGTGATAGCATGGCACCCCCTTGTGGTTTAAGTTAGTTTTAAAAGTCTGGTATAATGTAGCAAAGAGTTGCCATTTAATTGACCAATTTCTTTTGAGCACTTGTTCAGACACAGAATGGAATTTAAGTTAACATTCTTTTCCTTTTTAAAAACCACCTCTATTGCCTAATGCACACATAAAAACTCGCAACATTATATATATATAATGTTAGTGTATACACACATATAATGTGTGTATATACATACACACACACACAGACATAAAAACTCACAACATTTTATATTAATATATATATATATATATATATATATATATATATATTCGTTTTTCTTTTTAAAGAAACCTATCGGCCAGTAAAGCGAGATGAGCGCCGCAACCCCAGAGTCGGTCACAACTGGACCTAATGGTCAGGGGTCCCTTTACCTTTTACAATAGTGCAAATGTCAATTCAGTGAATGGAGTAAAATCTTTGTAGACAATGCAATGTATTGAGCTTCAGGAACTTTGTGTTATATGGTCTCACATTAGGACATTAACGAAAAGTAAAAGGTTGCTATTGTAATTTCAAAAATTATTAGTAGGAAAGACTGATGAAAGGTATGTCTAAACTATAGGGGAGATTATTTTATTTTGGGTTCAAAAAGCTGTACATCTCTCAGCATGACTCTTTCTATAATTGGTATCCTCCTCTAAGAAAAGGTTTCATGCTGGGAATGAGCAGCAGGAGAGGCAACACAGCTTTGACCAAGAAAGTAAATGCCAATAGATGCAGGACAGTGATCTCTTTCAGCTTCTGCCTTCTGGAAGAAGGTACAGGGTTATAAAGACTAGGACTAGTTGCCTGAGAAACAGTTTCTATTCAAATGCGATTTTGGTTTTAAACGCAGTGTAAGGTAGTCTCTATGGGAATATATTGTATTTAATTATGGGGTATCGGAGTTTTTTGGGGGGCTAACCAGGCTGGGATAGCTGAGATAGCAGGCTTGTTGGTTTTTGAATGTCTGATGTACATTCTTTCAATTTCATTGTTCTGTATGGGACAATGACAATAAAGATTATCGTATCGTATCGTATCGGACCACCCGTAACTCACCACTGCATAATTTAAGAGCTCTTCAGTGTTGTCTGGATGTAAGAGATTCCTATGGTGGCAGTATAACTCTCAGGCAGGGTTTGGAAAGTTGTGAAGGCTTAGTCGTTGCTTCAGAAAAAGAGGAGAGAAAAATACTTTTGAAATAAGTAAGCAGTTAAAGAGTAAAAACAACTCAGACTCTTCTCTGATTTTTAACTGTGGTTTGATCGCATTGCATGAGCAGAGCACACTTCTGCCTGCACAGGTAGGAAGTGGCAGAGAAAGCCATCTCCTCCATCTGCACTCCCTGTGCCTCCGAGACAAGACTTCAGATGTAGGAATAGCTGCCTACCTTGTACAGCAGCAGAAGAGCCTTTCACTCTTGAAGTGGGATCCTAGGATGCAAACAGATAAATGTAGCTACTTTAAAGCACACACCAGAACACTCCCTCCTCCAAAGTAATGTAATGAAATTGTTGTCGTCTTTCCCCCTTATATACGAAAGTCTTGTTGGAAAGGTTGAGACCAGTCCTGATGCTAGTAACTGATTTGCACTGTGATTTCATGGGATCCTTTTAGCAAGGGGTAGCTGGCTGCTTCAGCTTTGCAAAATGCCACGCGCATTTATGATATTAATCAAGGTGTCTAGGCTGTGCAGTGGTAAGAGCAAACCTGTCTGTCAGTAATGGGAAAGAAGCATATAAGAGCAGATCTGTAAATGATAAAACTGCTTGGTAGCTTTGGTCTAATTTTCACTCCACTGAGTTGCTGTCCTCTGGTTTGTGCAAAAGCACACTGTTACCATGTCACTCCTGGATTAAAATGTAGTTTGGCAGTTTAGCGGGTGGCGGCTTGAAGTGAAAATGAAAAGAAGCACCCAGCTGTGTTTCATTCTGATTTGATTTTTTTTTTTTGGTAGTTTTCTGAATGGTAGCCAGTTTCTTTAAATGGATTTCCTGTGCTAGGTTTTTAAATTGGCATGGACTGATATTTGGAAATCGGCTTATGAATTTAAGTTAACTAGATTTAAATGCAGTCATACCTCGGGTTACAGACGCTTCGGGTTGCACGATTTCGGGTTGCGCACCATGCCGAACCCGGAAGTACTGGAACTGGTTACTTCCGGGTTCTGGTGCTTGCGCATACACAGAAGTGTTAAATCGTGCTTTGCGCATGCACAGAAGCACCGACTCATGACCCGAGCGTCCACTGTACATCCAGATTTGTGCATATTATTATTTTTAACTATCTAGAGACTCAAAGCACCATGTAAAATATAATACCCTTTCAAAAGGACTTTACAGCATCAAATAGCCTATGGGTACCTGTTTTGTATTTGAACTGATTTTATGTATGTGCTGCTGCTGTTTTAAATTGTATATATGTAATTGGTTTTTTTTAAAATGTTCTTATAGTTTTTATATATGCTGTTTTTATATATGCAGTTGCTTTAACTGTATTCAGATATGTAACTTTATATTTGCTTTTGGTTTTATCATTTTGTATATCGTTTTGGGATGGCTCATGAGAAGTGATTTGTAACGAAATAAATAATAATATGATATAAGAAGGTGAAAATGCAGCCTAACTTGCATGCAGCAATATTAATAGTAATTTAGAGGAAGCATGGATCTCCTGCTCTTCTTGTTCCAAGCTAGACTTTTTCTGCTTATTTCTTATTTGACATTTTCATGGGATGAAACCATGTACTGTACAAACGTGTTCATCACAGTAATTTCCCACCTCTCTTTCAACAAAATAAATCCCCAGAAATTGGTACTGAATCATCCATTGCCTACCACTCCACACACCAGATACATTGTTTTTCTCTTTTATGAAGATAGTAGGTCATTTCACGGAGATCATATAGAAAGCTAACATTGTCCTGACAGCAAAATAGTAGCTCTGAAATAGTGCATCCTAGGTTACAACAGCACAACTTCTTTGGAGGTTTTCTTATGTATTTTTAGCTTTTGCGTTTCTTCCCTCTTCCTCCCATCACATGCTGGTTTTTTCAGGCCTCTGCGTGGCTGCATATTTCATTTCTTTTAAGAGCAGAGTTTTGTCGTCCCCCCCCCCCCCCAGCAGTAGGTATGCCTTCATAATGAAATGGTGTGACTTGACATAATTAGAGCACTTTAATCTTTATAGCTTCTTCATGCGTTTAAGAGTTTTTGTTTGGTTTATCTCCTTTAGGAAACCTTCCCACCCTCAGCTTGAAGCTTTTATTAGCCATATGTCTAAAGGATCAGAAACCCAAATGGATGGCACTCTGAGCAGCATGCCTCGTTACCCCAGCCATTCACTGTGTGAAATGGGAGAGCTTACACAGACAGGTGATTTTCTACAGCTGTTTTATTTCCATGTCCAAAAGAAACCAGCATGTCAAGAGGCTCTTTGGTTCTTAATTGGAACTTCCTAGGCGCTTGTTAAGGGTTCAAAAACGATTTTTCCAGGGAACATTGCTGGTACTTTTTAAAGGATACCATGGTTGTAATAGCAATATCCCAATTGTTTATGGGTTGTTTGTTTTTTTAAAAAAGAAAACATTCTCATATTTCCTTCTTGCCTGTACAACCATTTAAGACTTGTGCAACTAACATTTTTGAAAAATTAAAACGTTTTTATATTCTTAGCATGATCTGCCTACCCCAGCCATTACCCTTTCACATGGATTGTATGAAGTAACTGCATGAGCAGAAGGCAGCTCAGGCAATCAATATTTTTATACTCCTTCCTGTGCAGCCACATGTACCCCCAAAACCTTCTCGGGGGTGGGGGGGTCGGCCAGAGTTTGGTGAACGTTTGGAGCTATGTCACATGGAAGGGAAGATTCTTCTGAAATTGGACAGAGAGATTTTGTGCCATTGTAGCTGCCACTGGAGCAAGATCGTTCTGCTCCATTTCAGATGATTTCCCCCTCACATCACAGCCCATGTGACACAGCTCCCAAAAGGGTCAACCTTTGACCCTCTTGAGAGGATTTTTGACTGGGTGCTTCAGAGGAGAAGGAGGGGAAGAAAAAGGTAGGTTGCATGAGCTGTCTTATACCCAGGCAACTGCTTGATACAACACAATTTCTCTTAACAGTACAGTTATACCTCTAGTTATGAACTTAATTCATTCTGGAGGTCCGTCCTTAACCTAAAGCTGTTCTTAACTAGAGGCGTACTTTCGCTAATGGGGCCTCTTGCTGCCACTGCGCCACTGGCACACGATTTCTGTTCTCATCCTGGGACAAAGTTCTCAACTCGAGGTAACTCAGGTTAGCGGAGTTTATAACCTGAGGCGTTTGTAATTCGAGGTACCACTGTACAGTCTTCCCAAGATCACTCTCAAATTATTTCATAGAAGAATGCTTACCTTCTTCTTTTTCTTTTTTGAAGGGATTGTACAGCACTTGCGAAATGGACAACTACTGCGGAATATTTATATAAAGAAGCATAACTTGATACCAAGTGACTGGACAAGTAAACATTTGTATTTGGAGACAACTGGAAAGAGTCGAACACTACAGAGTGGGCTGGCACTACTATATTCCTTCTTGCCGGAATTTGATTGGAAGAAAATTAACTTTAGGCACCAGTGGAGCACAATTTTTTGTTCTGGAAGCTGTGATTGCCCGATAAGAAACCATTACCTAGAGGAGGAGCAACGGCGTCAGTACAGCCTACGGGTGAAAAACATACACTTGGAGAAAACGTATGCAGATATGGCAAAAATTGTTGGCATACCCACAAGGCAGTTAAGGGCTTCTAACCCTGTAGATTCTATGCTGTGTCATTTTTGCCATAATGTCAGCTTCCCGTGTACCAAGAATGGCTGCATTAACCTTGAGCACTTTAAAACAATCAAGACGCATCAACTTGAAGATGAAAAAGAGAGGCAGGAGAAGAAATATTACTACTTGTATGCGCTACTGGCCACTCATCCTATCCTTAACCAGACAGCCAATCGTATGCAGCGCATTGCAGAAGGCAAGAGAGAAGAACTGTTTGTCCTTTATTCCGCTCATGATGTCACCTTGTCCCCTGTTCTGAGTGCCTTAGGCATCACTGAGGCCAGGTTCCCAAGATTTGCAGCCAGACTAGTCTTCGAGCTGTGGAAAGATGGGAAGAAATACAAAGAACATTTTATCCGCATCCTTTATAACGGTGTTGATGTCACATTCCAGACTTCATTCTGCCGGGACTATAACAAACATTACACCAAACTGATGTGCCCCTTAGAGAAATTTGTTCGTTTTGTTAAACAAGACATGTTCTCACCTTTTAATAGCACCAATTACTATGATGCATGTCACAGGAGGCCATTCTAAACAAGGGAGGAATAAAACGTTACATTTTGTATTGTCAAAAAAATTGTCTCCGAGGCAGCTTGACACTGTCAAATCCTAGTGTGCCTAAGTGCAAATGAATATAGCTTGAAGTGGTTTTGTCGTTTCCCCCCCCCCAAAAAAAATGCATTCTAGATTGATTTAAAATGTCATTAATTCATAATGTTTGTCAGCCTTAGCAGCACAGGGCCTGTGTTCTTTTGTGCTCCAACTTGATTTGTCTCTTAGCTGCTGTAAAATGGATATTGCTTGAAGAACTGAATGAGTGCATTCTGGTTCCTTGTTGTTCCACTGTAAAAGTTGCCACAGTAAACACAAACCATACTTGTCATAATTGAGAGTATCCTTCATTCCACGAATCCATTCATAGGATCTAGCTAAAGTAGGAATCATTTTTTCCTTAGGGCAAAAGTGTATTATAGGCAGGCTTTGTTTTTTGTTTTTTGGGGGTGTTTTTTGTTTTTTTAAAAAAGGTGCATGGATTCAAATGCTTCTGCAAATGCTTCTAATGTGTTCTCTTGAACACATCACTTCTAGCTACTATACAGGGACTACTTCATACATGACGTAGATGCTGTAAAGATTGTTACTTCATGGTAGAGGCTGCCATGTTTGACATGGCTTCTTGTTGTGTTTGGTTAGAACACATGCGAATCTGCATCAGCATAGATGACTTCCTAGGAGGCATTAGCATTGTCAGAAATACTTTTTTTGAAATTACCTGTACAGGCAATCCACACAGGAAGCCTTTTATATATAAAATCAGCCTCCTTGTGGAACCCCCAGCATATAGAAGTGTTTGGGTTTTCTTTAGGTAAGGAACTATCATATTATAGTGGCCCCTGGGGTAGAAGAAAAGAAAAGTTCCGTTCTTTGCACTTTTAGCACTTTATGTGTACTTCAAACACAAAGTACAAGTTGTGTCAGATGCTAGAAAGGATTCATACACAAGAAGTGAAAACTTAAAATCGGGCTTCGGATACATTCTTTAGGAACTGTGTATGTTGTTCAGATCATTCGTGCTGTGATAAGAAGCAATGTGTTATAGCCGTATGTTGTAATGGCTGCATGTAGCCAAACAAGAACATGACTTAATGCTTAATTTTGTAGTCCATTTAGTACTTTTATAGACTAGGAAGACATTTTATAAGCTCAGTCTTGTTTTTTACTGTCTGGTGATTGTACTACAGTGTACTAGATTTTTTTTTTGTTAACCTTCTTTGTAAAGGGATGCCAAAAGCTGTTTTTCAACACTTTACTTTGGGCGTAGTACAAAGATTCAGAAATCTATTATAAATAATTTTACTGGATAAATTAATAATGCACATTAACTCATATTTTAGATTCCTTACATCAGATTTTTAGACAGCTTGGGAAAGCATTTTGTTACTATTGGAATGCTGAGTTTTGTAATGTCAAGAGTTTTTAACACACCCTGAAACCAGACTTTTAGTGTAATTTGTATGGAAATGGTGGTAGCAATTAAAAGGAGCTGTAATTTGTGTTCTGACTTTATTGGCATTTCAGCCCCCTTTTGAAAACAATGCATTTGAATGTTCTATAAATAAAGTTTTGAAAAAAATCTTTGATGTGGTTCCTAAAAGCCAATATTTCTGTTTGTGCTCTTCAAACCAGAGTTTGTAAAATTGATCTTTGCCTAGTCGGTTATGTCAAAGGTTTGTTGCCACATTGGTTGTTGAAATTTAATAGATTCTTAATTAGTGGTGCTTGATACATCGCAAGGATACTAAAAGCTTCATAGAAAATATGTAACTGCAAAGAAAGTATGTAACTGCAGAAAAACTTCAAGCTCAAATATGAAGCTAGGTTACCACAGTATTTGTGATAGTTGTTCCTATGAAAAACCTGCCATTTTATTCTATTCAGTACATGTTCAGGTGGTTTTGCTCAGAATAAACCTGTCAGACTACCTATTCCTCAAGAGCAAAATCAGTCATAGACAAATGAGAAAAGCAGGCAGAGAAAGGAGAATTCTGTGCCTTGCCTCGATAAGTTTTGTACCTTGAGTCAAACAAAGAGGAATTATTCCCTGACCAGTCAAGCCCAAAAAAGAGTATAAAAAGATGGGGATGAAACCTGCAAAAAAATGGGGATGAAACCTCATATACAAAATGTGGCAACTTCTAAACACATTAATGAACAAGAGTAAATGCAGCCTTAAAAGCCTTATGATTAGGACAGAAGGAAAGGTTTATTTAATGAGCTTTGCATAGGTACAATGCTACATTACCACTACTCAAGCAGATATTGTATAAACAGCAGTATGCAGAAAAAAAATCCTATCCAGAAAGAGATTAAATTATACATAGAATATCTTCCTTGTTCTTGCATGCTTTGCATGTAAAAAGTCCCAAGTAAAATCTAGTCTTTCGAGGTAGCGATGGGAAACATTGGAAACCTTGGAGTGGCGCTGGCAGTCAGGGTTGACAAAATGGGTGCACCAATGGTCTGACTTGGTATAAACTGCTTCCCATGTATCTGCAGACATAGAATTATAGAGTTGGAAAAAGTTAAAGCATTATCTCGTCCAACTAGCTGTCATTTTGCAGGAAATTCTTTACTTCTTTACCCCTGTAAACCAGTCTCTTGCCTTATACAAGCTTCAATGAAAGAGAGTCCTCCAAGACTATCTGTTACACATTTGAACACCTCAAGGCATTAGAGAGTGTTTCCTAATGTTTTATCTTATCAGAATTTCCATTCTGGGGATTGCAACAAAAGCTGGCAAAAAGATGTTATTTCTTCTACGCTCTTATTCTTAGATCCACTTTTTTTGTAGACGTGTCAATCCTCTGCAAGATTTTAAACCTCAATGCCACCCTGTGGCAACGTTGATTTGATTTTTCATGTTTTTTGAAACTGTGTAGGAAAGGCTTAGGCTTCCCTCTTGTGGCCAAATGTAATAGTACCTTGGAAAGTAATTGTAATTAAAAGCTATGCTCCTAAGAGGAAAAACAAGTAAAGTTCTTTCTACAGATTTTTCTAAACAAGCGGATTGTCAGCATTCTGACTAGAGAGATCAGTTTAGGGCAATATTTACATCCCCAAACCTTATACATTTACAGAATTATTACCAGTGAGCAAAATGTAAGAGACGTCAGAACAATTGTGGAAAGTCTGGCCCAGTATATAATGGCAGAGGTTTTCCATTCTTCCACTCCTCAGCTGCCGCATGTGAGAGAAATAAAGGACACAAACCCTGAAATAGTCATTTATTCAAACCTCTGTCATTGTTTAAAGCTGCTACTTTCCTCTCAGTTTCCTCCATCCCTGCTTCACTTAAACTTCTGCCATTGTTTCAAACCACTAGTCTCCCCTTTCACTCCCATGCCATAGCTGCTATTGTGCAACCTGCCTTCACTTTTTCTCCTCTATTCCACCCTGACTTCCAGATGAGGCACTACAAATCTTCCAATGGGGGCTGCGCCATGACATTCTTACGTTTTTATTATAGAGTTCCCCCCTATATATGTCCCCCCCCCCTAATTCCTTAAGAGCCAGTTCACCTGATACAAAAGTAGCTGTCCACCAAACATTTTGGAGCGACTTGCCTTCACAATAGTTGTGCAATTGAGAAATGCAACTCTTTAGATCACAGCAGTCTGCACACAACTCATGCAACGGTGAAAGTGTTCAAGTAGTTAGTTCTGAACTATGCCTTGACAGAAGTGCAAGTAAATGGCAACCAGGCAAATGGCTTGGCTCAAGTGAAGCCACTCTTTGCAGCTATATGGCAGTGTCCTGGTTCCCCTGATGGCGATCTCAGTTTTTAACCTGGCCTCTACAACAGGAATCAGCATGAGCACAAAAAGAAGAACCTAACAGCCCCTAGTATCCGCATGTGGAGAACAGATTTCCAAGGCAGTTTGCATGGTTGTCAACAAGGTTCCTTGGGGATCAAGTCTCATGGCATGCAAAACTAGCTCTGCCATATGATTTAGTTGACAAAAAGTGGCAATTAGAAATGGTGTCAACTCAAAGCAAGAAGAACAATGCGCTGGGTGCATTGCCGCCTTGGGCTAACATCTGTCACACTAAATATTTGCAAATAAACAAACCTATTAAAGTCAAAGTCTCCTTATGGATAATTTGCAAACATGAAAAGCGGATAAACTAATTTGATAAACAGACCGCCTTGAATAGTTGTCCTTGACATAAAAACGTGTTAATCACTTGTTTTTCCATGGAACAGTGGTGCAGGGGTTTTTTTTAAAAAAATAATAATAATTGAAGCTGTAAAGCAAACAAGGCTTAAAGTGTCCTTGCTGTTTTCTGTGAAGACTAGTTTAAGACACAGAAACGCAAGCAATCTACCCACCACAGACCCACAAGACTAACATAAATAGGAAAAAATATTAGGCCAGTTCTAAAAGGCCACTCACTATCTCAGCACAGGCTTCCAGGTGTACATGAAAAACCTTTCATCATCATCATCATCATCATCATCATCATCATATATTTGTACCCTGCCCCATCTGGCTGGGTTTCCCCAGCCACTCTGGGCGGCTTCCAACAAAGACCAAAAATACACTAAAATGTCACACACTAAAAACTTCCCTGAATCTGAGCCTTCAGATGTTTTCTGAAAGTCAGGTAGTTGTTTATCTCTTTGACATCTGATGGGAGGGCGTTTGGAAGACAAACCTTTTGTACACAGTGGCTCTATATGCAAATCTATCCCCTCTGTTGAAGTGAATATGGTCTTGAGTATCCTCAAGAGAAATATGCTGTCTATACGATCATGTCCACACTAAACATGAGAGTAATTCTTCACAATGATAAACTCTACACAAGAAACACATAAGACAATTCCAATACATCTCCACATTTTGGGGGGATAAAACATGTCAAAGACACATCAAACGCAACAAATCGGGACCATTTGTAGGAATGGTCCTAGCAAAAGCCTGCATTTGAGGAAAAGGGAATATTTTTGGAGGGGTTAGATAAATCCTTTGACCCAAAAAGATAGCACAGGCACATATTTAAGAAACCTACGAAATGCCTGTTTGAAGAGCATGTTACTTTAAAACATAGGGGGGGGGGGCTGCTCTCCAGTCTACCTTGGTTTACAACCAGGGAGGGGAGCCAGTGGCCCTCCAGTTGTTGTTGGACTACAATTCCCATGATCTGTGATCACTGGCCTGCTGGATGGAGTAAATGGTAGTTGGAGTCCAACAACATTAGGAGGGCCATAGGCTCTCTAGCCCTCATCTACAACCTGACAGTGATGGTTGGCCTGCTAGGTAATGAGCGACATTAAATATTCCTCATTTGAGGAGACAATTCTCAGTGGCTAGGTTAAATATTTTCCCACCAGGAGTTATGATTTACATGTCCTCTCTTTTTTCCACCATGTGAACCTGACCAGTGAGGATGTCAAAGCTGGATGCTCCAAGCCCAGACCATATGGCTTTAGCAAGCCATCTATGTGTTTCCAG